TCTCTCTCTCTCTCTCTCTCTCTCTCTCTCTCTCTCTCTCTCTTCTCTCTCTCTCTCTCTCTCTCTCTCTAATTATGTTTCCAATACTTCGTTCGTATTGTTGTTTCTCCATTATTGTTTAATGAAGAATTGTTTAATGAAGAATTTTTTTAAAAAGAATTTTCCTAAATGATATTTATTAAACATATTTTAACCAATTCTAATTATTTTAAATTCTTGATAGAAACATTAAATTTTTTACTGTAATTCAATGAAAAAAATTTTATTTTCTACTATTATCTTATTACATTAGAATAATATTATTTTACATAAGTAATTTCTTTTGTTTCTAAGATAATTTGGTGTAAAAATATCGATAAATCTTCAAAACTCGACATCTATTCCTTTTGCCACTTCATCGTTCTTTCTTAAAATTTCACCATTGAACCACGGATAAAATTTCTTTCACCAGTTACGTGAAGTTTCACATAAATCAACCGTATTACCATCTCGAGTTTCGAGGTATAAAAGCGTATTTTCGAAAATCGAATTTTCTGTCTAACCGCGGGCTAATGTTCCACTGGAATACGCATCACCACTCTTGGTTGCATGAAAACGATGGAAGGTTGTTCCCTATGGATGAAACGTTGAAACTAGCGAGGGCACATCCTTACGTAGTTGTTCTCAGGAATGGCACGTGAAATTTTATGCAAACGTCGCCGGAAGGCGAGCTTCCCATATGCAAAGAGGAAGCGACATTCGATATATATTCTCTTGGCGCGTTATCTTAACGAAGAAGACACGCCTTCACCTTTTACTACATGCTGGAGAATGAGTATCCTAATTTGCTACATACAGATGACCCTATTTATCCATCACTATTCTGATTTCTTTTCTCATCAATTTTAAAAGTAGTGTCATAGTTTCGAGTATTTTATTTTGGTTTTTCTTTGTTTAATTTCTTTTTATTAATTATTCCATTATTAATTTATCTTTCTCATTGAAATGAAATTTATCGATTTTTCGAATAACTTGAATTTTTCAATTTTTGAAATAATATTTTACAATTCGTAAATAATAGAATTTGAAGAAAGTTTCTTCTTTCCTTTTTATTTTGTGTTAGAATTGTTTAGCATTTTATATTTTCGTTTATTTCGATGGTGGCACGTGTTCATAAGTGGAGAAGTTTCTAAGATAAGTAATAGGACCGTAAAATTGTATTTTGGAAGTAGTACAGTAGTGTACTAATAAATGATAGTAGTTTCGGTTGTTTGAGTTTATTCCTGTGTTCGCGGCTTGGGGTAAATACTACCCCTGTTTTTCCGATCTAGTGTGCATTTCAACTCGGAAACTTATAGGTAGACATTTTGAAACTTTCCAGAAATGATTTGTCGATTTTATTTATTTATTTCTATCATTCTTTTTCCATTAGAAATTTCTATATCTACCAATATTACTCTATTTTTTAAATAAAATCTCACAATTTTTTAAACAATATTTCCCGACTCTTGATTTGTTGAACAAAATTTTCTCAAATTTATTTTTTATTCGAATAAAATTTTTCAATCGAAAATTTTCCAATTTCTTAAACCTTTCAATGACTCGAATAAAATTTTCCAATTTCCGATGCACCAGTTATCAATGTAAACGTTTCAATTCTTCAAACAAAATCTCATTTCTCAATCAAAACTCTTCAATCCCTCAAACAAAATTTTCCTTTTCACCTTTTCAAACATAATTCCAGATAAAAAGAATTAAACCAAATCCTACAATTTCAATCTCCATACTTCGCTTCCTCACATTCGTTTCACATCATCGATACCGTTTCCTTCAATTGGTCCTCACCACTCGTTCCAGAATATATTCCTTTTCCAATCGGCATCATCGTTTGTTTCGTATCGTTTTCGACTCGTTTCAAAATGTTTTTTACCATGGTCGCATCGGTATTCATCTCGAAATGTTCCAGACACCGAGTCGATTTGAAATTCAACCGGTTCCACGCGCCAAATGATACATCGTCAAAAGCGAGAGACGACGATTTTCGCGGGAGGTAACCGGTGTTACCTCTCTCTGTTTCTCCTTCGCTAACCGCCATTGTTTCGACCGGTGGAACGAGCGTGAATTACGACTCGTGCGTTCGTTCGACTCTCTCATTAAATTAAATTAAATTAATTCCTCGTGTCTGCTCGGAATTTCCCCTCTTTGAACGAACTTTTCCATTTTTCACCATTCGCCACGAATCATGAAAAAAAAATATTTATTTATCGTCGAAAACGGGAATTTTGATTTTGGGGAGCGAGACGATTTACTGCCTTTGACGATATGGAGTTTGGTTTCGAGTTTTTAAGTTTTACGTAATTTAAATCAAATAAGAATATAAATGTTGATAATAATAAATTAGTATAAATGATTCTCTAAAATTAAATTAAATTCAATTAATTCTTCGCGTCTACAGAGAATTAAGCGTTTTCCATTTTTCTCTTTGATTAAATTCCTCTTCGGTAAAATTTTAATTATGGTAATATTGTATCGATTCTCTATGTTCCAATTTATTATCCAATTTCTTTAAAATCATTTATGAGAATATACTTTTATACACAAAAAATATAATTGTATCATACAATATTGACGAGTATCGTGGTTTAATTATTATCCACATTTATTACATATAATTTTTATTATTTATCTTAAATGAATCAGAATAAATCTCGATCACTTCACTGGAGATAAATAATTAACGAGAGACTATTCGAAGAATTATCAAGTTATCAGCCCATTCCTGTTCGTTCGAGCGAAATGGAGAAATCGCGTAATCGATTTCGATTAGAACGTTGTTGGATTGGCACGATGGAAACCTCGTTTGTTTCGACGCGTTCGAAGGAGAAATGGATTTTTTTTTTTCCGCGCAAACGGTTAATTCGGCCTTTGTTATTATCTCGAGCGCACGCTCGGGACTTTTATATTACACCACTTTCGCGTTGCTCTGAAGCACACGAAACATTTCCACCGAAAAAATGTTGCGTATTAATCCTTTGTTCGCGCTCACTCGCGAAACACTATGCAGACGTGCGATTTTTATTCCATCTTTTGTTAAAAGTGACATAGTATTCGTGGAAAAATTTGTAATTTTTTAATGGAACTGTGAAACGAAGAATTAAAACATTTATTACACTACAATACTTTTTATAGATATAAAAATTTTATTTATCAAAATGATAAATCTCTTGCACGACGAGAGATAAATTAATGATTCTATCGTTAATATTTTACAATAACATAATAAACATAAAATTCATAGAGCTTCTATATTTCCAATAATATATTTCGTTATCATTAATAAATTATTCATCATTTGAAAAAATAGATACAATTTTCATATCTATTGAGTAAACACAACCAATATACAATACAGATGAATATAATAATGATTCCATATAATTCCAATTATAATTATTAATTAATACGAGTCACAAACCTAATAAGGAGCAAACAAATCTCGAAGGAGCAAAAAAAAAAAGAAAGAATCCTACCAGCACGAATCTTGTTCATCAATCTTTTCAATCTCGTCCTGAAACGACTCCCATCGGCAAATCCTCCGGTCCGCTCGTAATCAGAGCGCAAAGAAAGCTGCAAGCGGAAAGGCGGTCCTCCTTGGTCGTCAAGCGGTGCAATAACGGTCGGCCAATTAACCGTCCTGCTCCAGAGACGTTAGCAAAAGAACAGTATCTCGGATGACGTCATTGTTTGACGAAGAATTATCGACTTGAACCCTCCCAAAAAGTCAGGCAATACGTATATACGTATATACACGTATAGAAACAATGGGTCGATAGCAGAGACCATTTTCTGTTTGCTTCGCCGATCAAATGTCATTTCGATGGATTGTCCCGGAGCGTTTGATTCGATATGAATTTTCTCGCGGCTCTGTAATTTCTCTCTTTCTTTTTATCCCATATTTTTCCAATTTTTCCAATTCTTCGTTTTTATTTTATTTTTATTTTATTTTATTTATTCATTTTATGTTATCCTTTAAAAGTTGATAACGTAGTTACACGGTGTTGTTTTGCTGTAGATATAGTTTCTTTATTAATGCTTTTATTTTTTCATGGACAAAGATTCAGTTAAAATTAAGAATATGTAGAATAAACTTTTCTCTACGAAGATTACAATAAAATTTTAGATGAGTACAAGTTAAAATCAAATTTTGAATATTTTATCTATCGATTTTTCTTTTTACACGAAATAACTTCAAGCATTTATTATATTAGTTTAACGATATTTAATAAAAATTTTTTTATTTCATGCAAAATTATTTTCAAACATTTTTAGCTTAATATTTATTCCTTCCAGTTTTTATTTTTAACTGGTCACGGGATGTACACACGTATGAATGTAGATAGGGATGAGATGGTTGGAGGAAGCAACGAGTGGAAATTTCGCGCTCTATTTTTCTCTCGCCGCGACAACACTCGTATCGCTGGCGAAATTCGAGGCGACACGGGAAAAATCGTTGATAAACTTTTAACGATATACACGGCACGTAGCCGTTTCAACGGCCGATCGAAAATTATTGGCAAACATGGGGTCACTGCTTCGTTCAAAGAGCGAAAAATCGTCGAATATGTATTCGTGCACGTGTCGTCTTCGACGAGTGGTCATTGTATTAAAGTGCCGCGAGGAAATATTACGCCCGTTAAACGAAATTTCAGTTTATGGTGAATGAAATTGAGAACGATTGGTACGTGAACGAATTGAAATGTATTGGAGTTTTATAAAGATGAAAAGATATATATTCGTTTTGATAAATAATTTGAGAAATGTTCGAGCATCATCTTTCAAGTTTCGATAATTTGATGAAGAATAGAATAACATTTACAATAATTTTTTCTTAATAAATATCTCTTCTTGACTGCTTGTTAGGAACAAGCAATACAAACAGACTAGATTTTCTAATTTTAAATAGAATAAAATAATTTTTCAATATTTATAACAATTCTTTAAAGAAAATTTCTTGATAAAAATATATTTTTCTTGTCATACTTTTTTAGGCTGATTTTCCAAATTCAATTTCAACAGAAATCTATTAACCCTACCAAAAACATCAGTTAATTTTTTCCCCGTAATTAACGTTCAATCGTTTACACGATCCAATCGTTTTCATGCAACAAGAGAGCAGAAGAGATATAGAGAGAAAGAGAGAGTAATTCGAGATGGATAACGTTACGATTCGCTCGATGACGCAAACGAAACGGAACACGGGCAAATGGCGTCGAATGGCATTAATGATATTCAACGACACGGGTAAAACGCGTCGATGGGAAAATGTATTTATTTGTGAAATGCGAACGGCCAGATAGAGAATGCTCTTTGCCTCGCGAATCGTGGAGATTTTGTTTGTTGCGTTTCAGGAAGGGGGTTGGTTCGATATCGTTGAGGAGGGAGGAGGAGGGAGAGAGTAGAACAGATTTTATTTTATACGAGATACCAGACAACGATGATAACGCTTCGATATCTATCAGCTCACGCTCAAGTTCATCGTAAATGTTGATAACATTTCATCCTCATGTGTCGAGTTTCTATCTCTTTTATTTTTCTCTTTTTTTTTCTTTTCTTCTGGATATTAGTAATTTGAAAGTGGAATAAAAATATTCGAACGAAAATATTTCCTTATTTGTCAGATAATGTGAGAAAGGTACGGTTATTCGTAATTATTTACTTATTAATAATTTCTGTATTGTATAACGATATATACATATTATTAGCAACACGGTCTGATCGGTGTGAAGTACTAGAAATCGTGTTATATCTGATATTTAATCGATATCTCGATATTGTTGGAGATCGATTTTCGCTATTTCTTGTACCACATTTGATTTCATAAATAATTTGTTTCTATATGAACTATTTCAAATATTTATTTGATTTTATGTGTATTTCAATTAGATGTATATATATATTTTATCCCTTAAATAACCTTCTAATTATATATTCATTTATCAATCAAAAAAGGATAAAAACTCACTTTCCTGAAACAAATGTTTTCGTTTTTCTTTTTTCTATATTTTTTGCTTTATGTATTTTCTTTATTAAATAAAGAAAGTAATTGCAAAAAATAATATAAATAAAGTAAGCAATATAAATTTTGGCAAATAAATTTTAAAATATTATTTCATTTCAATAAGATTATTTCAATAACTTCCAATATTTTTTGAAATATAATCAGAATTATTCTCTATTACATTTTTCATTTTCATCTTTTTTTATAGGACAAAGATTAACGCGTATTCGTTACTATAGAGTGGAAAAATTTTGAAAGCTCGTTAAAACGAATATGAGCTAGTCCATCATTTTATGAATGTTTATTTGAAAAATTGATAACGAGAGTTGCGAAAACCAGATTGCGGAATTTTTTGCGTGGAGAATTTGCTCGTTGAAATTGAAATAAAATTTTGGATGATTTTTTTCCTACGATGTTTATCAATTTTTTTTACGAATTAATTTTAATTATTTAATTAGTTTCACGCTGTGAAATTAAATTTCAATAAGTAATCTTTTATTAAAAAGAGATTACTAAATATTTTTTGTACTCTATCTTTTCAATAATTATTGAATCATATGAATTTATTATGAAATTACATTTTTTGAATAGATGGAAATTTTAATCTTTTAGAGTTTCACTTTAAACATAATATCGGTTCGATTTTCATTTTAAAGAAAAATATTTATGTGGGAAGAAATCTTCATTTCCTTCATAAAGAATAAACATTTATAGAAAAGTGTTTTCTTTTCTAGAAAAAATATTTATTCGAAAAAAATATGAAGCAAATATTGAACTTCTCGTTATCTTAAATTCTGAATTTCTGATAATTTATGATTCACTTTAAACAGGAAACTTTCTTTAAAGGTGGAGAATTATACAGAGAAATATTTTTCTTCCCTTGAATATATTGTTACGTTAAACTTCATTTCCCATTTGCAATTTACTTTTGTAACTGTAGAAATTGACTTTTCTTTCAAACTTGCTTGATCTTGCTTCATTATATTAATCGTAAACTTATTTCTCTTTGACAAATTTTTCAATAATTAACTCCTTTCTTATTCATCTTTATCAATTTTGAAAATTGAAAATATATATAAAATACACAAATTATTCAAGCAATTGAATATTTTAATAATCTCTTTTTAAATCTATTCTCAATTTTTTCAAAGAAGATTAATTTATAAAATTTATCATTCTCATTTTGTAAAAACTTTCTTTATCTCGTTCTTATAACCGTTTAAGAGATTACCATTTTCAAATGGACCATTTACCATAGCCTCTGGATCATTCGTACAAACTGGCCTCATAAAATTCCGTAGTTCATTCCTTCCACACGGTTTTATTCTCCCAGCAAACAGATTTCTCCCGCGTTAATTCCAACGACACCGGTCTCCAGCTAATTCCAGGCTAGGGATTAGACGTCCATCAGCCGTACGAAGGCCACCCTTCGCCAAGATCGAGCGTAGGGCTATGGCCCACGAGTAATTTTGATATATCGGCTCGAACGAGGGTTTCCAAGCTTCCAAACCCTCTTTCTCTCGTTCCACTTCGAACAGTTTTCCCGATAATATTGCGAAATTCTCCATCTCTGTTTCTCTCTCTCTGACCTTTCTCTCGAGAACAGGACTTTTTGAGATAATACCAAAGCCCGGAAATCGACTGTAAGCGGTAGCGAATCGATGCGTTTTCAAGCTTACAGAGAAGTGGCTACCTGATGTGTGCAATGTCGGAGTTGGAACGCGGTTTGCAAGGAAATTGTATTCTCTTTGACGTATCGAGAGATGTTTTTCCATAAGATGGAAGAGATGGAAGTTGCGGTGGATTCGTTCTGTGAGTTACGTAAAGAGAAGTTATATGTTATTTTAATGTTTCGAAAAAAATGAAATTCGATATTTTTTACTCGTATTGATACGATCAAATATCAAGATATGAAGTATAAATCCGTAGATAATCAAAATCTAATTTTTTTTTAAATATTAAAGACTATATGAAACTGACAAAATATTGATCTATTTGCCATTGTATATTAATTATAATACTATGTATCATGCATCGTACATTATTACGATGTATTATGTTTACATATTTATATCATATAACAATATACTATTTCATTACCACTTTATTTACTACTAAGATATGAAAATTAAATCAATTCAACTCATATCCAAAGAGAACAAATTCAAACTCGTCGACGTAAAAATAATCTAGAGTCATTCTAGTTTTAAACAATCCCGCAACATTTCCCAATATCACATAAATCGAGAACAGAGAAGACCATTAAACCCATTCGCGAGCATATCCGGCTCATCTCTGGTCTCGGACGAAACCTCCACAATGCAGAGGCAAAAGTTGTCCAATTCCACCAGAAACTTGGCGAACAGACGTTCCCGCAACTTACCAATGCATTCGACTCTTAAAAGGAACTCCACCCTGTTCCAAAACGGGGGTTGTCCTAACATTCGACCTATTTGTATCGTCGCCAGCTGAGGAACCTCGAACTTCCACTAAACTTTTCCTCTATGTTATTCCAGAGAATACGAAGAGAGAGAGAGAGAAAAAGAGAGAGGAGGAGGAGGAGAGATCCTGATGATGGAAATTTATGATGAGTCACGATTAATCCTCGAGCATTGGTAATTCAGGAGGGACTGTCCCTTGTCTCTCCCCAATTTCAAGTACTTATCAGCCCATATCGGGAATCTCGTCGAGCGTACGAGCCTGTTCGAGCCTTTCTCGATTCGTCACGATTTACATGTCGATCTTTGTCGAATATTTTCTATCCTGGAATCGTATGGCAGCGTGACAAATCGACGTGATCCATTCCACTAGTATTTTCTCGACCAGAAATTCGTTTTACGTTATGGAAATACGTATAGTGGATTCGAAATTTATCGAAGCAAGATGTTGAGTGAGTTAATTGATGTTAATATTATTTTTTTCTTCGGAAAAAATTCAAGAAGTAATCGTTATTATTTGTCGATATTTATTATCAACTTATATATTTTAAGCTTGTTTAATTTAATCATTACTGAAAATTATTGAAATTAGAAATTGAACAGTATTTATAATTTTTGACTCGATATCAACATCGATAAATATTCCATTACATTTAAAAAGAAATTCATTGGGAGTTGATATCCAAAATGATACAAAAGTCAAAAGCATTCATCCGATTGCATCCAACTGTGAATCCCCTATTAATTCCCTTATCAATCCTAAGCGATCGATACGTCAAACAAAATAATTCAATCGTCTAACGCAACGAATCAATATCAAAGCCTATAAACCTATACCCCGTCCCATCATCCATTATCCAAAAGACGGTCAAATCAAACCATCGAAATCCACGACGGTCACGACGATCATTCCACATCGATGGACTCGTCACTCGCACGTCTCTCGAGTCGAATACCGTATCAAACCGTTGTCCCTCCCCGTACACTGTCAGTCAGGGGTGGACCATACCCCCTCCGGCATATGCTGCATCCCGAAATTTATCGCAGAAGCGTGGAACGGAGCCGATTTAGCTAGCCCTACGTCCAGTATGAATCGTTCCAAATAGGCTGTTGACGTCGATCCGTATTAAACGAGAAGGGGTCGAGGCCTTGTCTAGGTGTACAGTTGTTCTGAAGGGTGAGGGCCAAGGGGGAGGGGGAATATGAAAAATCGAGCAGTCGTCGTTACGGGCGGGGGTGGATCGAGGCAGGTCCATGGTAAATCTTGATGAATCGACGCGATCTTGGCGAGTTGGAAGAAGAAAAAAGAGAGATAGAGAAAAAATGGATCTGCCATGTGGAAATTTGTTGAACGATTATTTAAAGGATTTGATGATTCGATCGGGAGTAAGTTTCATGTTTTTTAACGATTTTTGTAGAAACTTTGTGCGAAGAATTTTTTGTTTTCTTTTATCCAGCACGATTTCAAAAATTACGAGGCCGTAATATCGTTTATCATATATTTCAGTGTTATTTGAAAATCGTGAATATAATATGAAGAAACTTTTTAAAAAAATTCTAAAAAGCGCTATCGACAATTTAAAGAAAAAATCTCCCCCCTTTTGACTCGAATAAATCGTTTCGCAAGTAGTTTTCCACCCACGCCCGTACCAATTACCTGTCGTCCTCAAAAGGGATAAGAGAGGGAGGGAGAGAGAGAGAGAGAAAAGAAATGATACCGTCATTAGGGACCCACGAGCCATTAGTTATCGTGTTTGCCAATTCATTCTCAGCTGGAAGTCCTCCACGATGACCTAAGGACAGAGGTTTGTCTCAATTATCGGCCGGTGCAACGATCCCGCACCAACCATCGCCTACGTGCTCATCTGCGAGATGCACTTATCCGCTTCCTCGTAGCCCCAGATGCAAATGGCATCATTGTCATTAACTCGATACATCCTTTAAAGGCACCAGCCTCTCTCGACGCACCTCTCTCCCTCCACCATCGTTTCTTCTCTTTATTGTTCGGATTTGATTGCTCTCTTTAGTTTCGAATCCACGTCACTCCAGTCGAGCATTCGTGGAACGGATGATAAGCGTGTAGATCTTTCTGTGTTTAGGATTGACGTCATGTGGCTAAGAAAATGGGGAATTATTGATTGGGTATTTTATTTTGTCACAGTAATGCGTAGAGAAAATGATCGAGTTTTGATTTAAGATTCGAGAAAGATGGATTGTTGTTATATTAAATAATATAATAAATTAAATAATTTAATTGATAAAATATAAATTAATTAAGAAATACAAAGTGATAAAAAATCAAATAAATTTTAATTAAAAGAAAGAATATGTGGATATTTGATGAAGAAAATTTAAAATTCACTTTTGGTAAATTCATTTTTTGTGATAATCAATTACGTATTTTTTCTCGATAGCGAAGCGAAGAATCTTTCAATTTTAACTCATACGAAAAATATCAAAGCAGTTGTTTTAAACGTCACTTCGTTAAAAAAACAGGATCTCAACTCCATGATTTTGAAAATTCCTAGTGATTTCATCTAGAACTGTCGATAAGTTCAGCAGAGAGGAAACTACAGAATCTGGCTGTTGACGTTGTCATGTTTTCATTGGCCGTTTAAATAAAAACTTAAAAAAACCCGTGGGGCGAACAGTTTCCCCATGACCAGAGTTTCATTAAAGCTTTCAGATTGCAAGGAATTTTTTTAAATTTTTAGTTTTTTTTTATTTAACCAAGTTTAATTTAACTGCGAAAAGATAATTTAAAATACCGTTTCAGTATAAGATAGAATTGAATTGTCTTTTGCTCGAGAACGAGAATTTAAAATTTAAATCGCAAATTGCAAATGAACTTCGACTTTTTATACTTTACAAATAAAGAACGGAATTATATTTTATATTATTCCGTTTCGTGAAAGTTTTTTTTTTTTTAATCTTTTGATGAAATATTGATGAGTAATCTTTTATTTTTAATGAAATCTTGCGAATATATAGAACACAATGGATCATATTGTAAAAAGTAATTTTTTCTCTTATCGAAATATCACTGTAAATAGATGAAATGCCAAAATTTCAATAATAATTTGTATTATTATTTTAATACATTTTTTATATGTACTTTGCATACATATAAATTTTCATTAAAAAATAAAATTTTTAAACGAATCTTCTCCTTCTAAAAATGACGTTTAAAATATTTTCACGAGCTACTATATTGAATTATCATTAATACGAAATTCTAGTTTTATAATCTCGAAATAGAATATTGAGTTCATCCTCGTGTTGCTGGTATTCAATCATTGGCTATCTAGCAGTGACAGGAAGCGTCTAGGAACAACAATCGATGCAATGAAACGATTTTATTAATCCGAGGCTGGCGCCATTCAAAACGATCCTTTCTAAAACAAACTCCCAAAATCCCAATTCCGTCAATCATCTGTACCAACGGTGACTCTTCTCTGTCCAAATAAATCGTGTCACCGATTTCGAGATACGCGTGGCTGCGTGTCAAGTATGGGGGTGGATGGCGATTCGTGATAGGGAGTCTATGATTCGAAATAGGTCGAAATGGTCGAATAACTTTTCGTTGTAGGAAGTTTCGTTTTATGGATAAGTGACTTTTTGAAAATTATTTGAGCGAATCTCGATACTGATGATATCTATTTAATATCAATTGTTACTTTATTTTTTTTTTTAATACTATTATTATTCGATATAACAATTACTGAAAATTATTCCATCGTGCTGATATTGGATATTAATAACTATTATTTAATAATGTTATATCGAAGACTCTTCACTATTTATCTATCATCGTTCAACTTCTTCCAATGAATCCATACGTCTGTAGTATCTTTGAAAACGCTTTTAAAAGCACCAGATAATATCTTTCCTATTTCATACATTATCGCTCGATTATCTGATCGATTGTTTCAATGATAACAATTTAAATAAAGATTGAATAAACTAACAAACATTATACAACGTAATAGGCAATTACAATACTTGATATCTTATAACAATAATAATAATAAACAATTATAATAACTGTTTCGTTGTAATAACAATTTTCCAATTTATAACGTAAAATGATCCATTTGCAAACACGGAGAATATAACCATTCGGTGAAATATCAACATTCTCCAATACTATCCCAGTTCACGCTTCGAATCATAGATTCCTCCATACCCCCATCCCCTCGAATCACGAATCACCATCCCATTTATTTACTACATCTACATCATACAATCTATCCCTCATCGACGATCAAAGATCCCCGAGAAAGGCGAGAAAGACAAGAATTGAAATCTCGTGAAATCATCCCCTGTTCGAAACTAGGCGTGTCCGATGACCCCGATATATCCCGAATTTTTTTCGATTAAATCAAGCCTGACGGGAAAAGGAGGCGTGTAACGTCCGACTGACGTTTCTGGCAGACACCACCGGCTGCTTTCTAATTGACACCCGCGAACGGGGATGAGGGATGCTGGCCACGCCATGATATCTCGCGGCCGTTGTGGGACCAGTCGTGTCAAAGAGGCGCTCCCTCTCTCTTTCTCTCTCTCTTCCCCTCTGTCTCTCTTTTCGCGGCACAGAGCGGGGATGGAATTGAGATTGACAGTTAATTTCGTGGTAGTCCGGGGCCGGACCGAAATTTCGAACCGTCGGGATTGACCTTCCGCTCGGATGGAAAGCTGGAGACGATCGGGGGAGATCCTCCTGGAGTCATGGGTGCTGTTGGGTGTCGCGTGACCTTTCGCGGGAACGTATGGTATTTCCGACCGGGTGATGATGGAATTGGTGTTGGTGGATCGATCTCGTTGTGATTGAAGAGTGTTTTAAAACGTTCTGATTTTTTTTTTCAGGATTTTTGAACGTTTTTACGATGATTCGATGGCACGTTTTATTATATTTATTATAAAAAAGATTGAGTACTAATTGTTCGGATATTTAAAAGTTGTGAATGTTAATTGGACAAAGATCTCAATGTGTATATGTATATTGCAAACATTTATCGTGACATTTATCGTTCCAGATCTTTGGAGGATTTTTAGAAATTTTTACGAAGATTCTTTGATACTGTAGTAATTACATTTGTTTTTATCAATGCAATTTTTGGTAAAAAAAAGGAATAAATTTATTAAGTTATTATTAAATTCCTTGAAACTATTATTTATGCAACTGTGAATTGTACGTTTAAACAATTGATTCTAATGGGGAATAGGAAAATGAATATACAGAATGATATAATAGCTGAATATCATGATGGAAGGTATATGGAATATTAGTGCAGAGATTGTCAATGATATCGCCATGTGTTTTCGAGTAATAAATCGTTAAACAGGAATCGTTTACCGGTAGATACATATAGACGAGTTTCGGTAATTGGAATTGAGTGGCAATAATTTGGAAAATTTGAAACCGTTTTAGTACGAATAGAATATGTCACGCGGAAAATTTAACAAAATCCACTATGGTCGATGAATATTGCATCGTCGAAATTGCCAATCAAATCATTTACTTCGCAATCGTATTCAGTGATCACAAGAACCCGTTTCAATCAACTAAAACCACTAAAATAGTTTATATGTACATTATAACGTTATATGGATATGAAGTTTAATGCAAAAATGGAAAAGTATTATATATACAAATTTTTTAATCTTATAAATTATTGAGTATATAAAAAAAAATTTTTTTATCCAAATTCAATCATAATATCCAAGTTCGTTCTTTGTAATTAGATATATTTCGTTTAAAAAAAATATAAATTTATTGAAATTAAACGAAAACAAGGATTTTGATAATTCTTCAACTTTTTCTCATAAGATTTCACGCTCAATTACTCCGTCATGTAAAAACATTACGTAAAAATTCTTAAAAAATAATCAACTTTATTAAAGAACAATTACTCTCAGCAACTATCTCTCTTTCTTAATGGATCTGTCTCCATTATCATCCAAGATTCACAATTACCAAGATTCGCTCGATCGAACAATACTTTCCATTCTTTCCTCCATCCGCAAGAACAATAGAATCGTCATCGACGATCGACTAACGACCAGTACACGTTCGAAGAATGACTCGTTCAAGGAGAACGATCTCGAGGGCGGCTGCTCGTCTTTAAGGCCGGTTCACCGGCTGGCCGACGAATTATTAATCTTCCGGCTCCCATGGTTGGTGGCGAGCATCGTTGAAAATTATTCGTGCGCCACGGGACCCTTTAATCCCGTCCACGAGTACGGGAGAGCGTCAACGACGCGTAAGTCCGGCCGTTGTGAACCACCCTTTAAAACCGGAAGCCTGGATTACCGGCAGAAATCGAGTTTGCCGCGGCGCTCAATTTGCGTCGTTTCCTATATGCCTTCTTACCCCATTTTCGAGGCGTTAATGGAATCGTGCCACTCTCATCGTGCACGGGTGTCGAGAGGCGAATTTCGTGTGAATTTTCATAAATGATTTCGTATATATTATATATATTGTGCTATTTTCTAATTTGTCGAAAGTGTGGTGGAATTTTTCGATGTGCAAGGTTCTCGTGGATTTTCATAGTGCGTGTCGAATCTTTTATGTATCGTCTTGTAGTATGTAGCATGTGTTATAATATTTTTTGTTATTGCAATGTACATGTAGTATGTAATATATAGTATTATGATGTTTTGCAATTTTGAAGGTGCGGTGAATCTGTGTGTGAAACTCTCGTGAATTTTGAGTATGAAATTTCATATAGAGTTCATATGGATGCTTTTTATATTCGTAAATTTCATGATTTTTTTATTTTTTTTGATTGAGAATTTAATCTTCTTTTTAACGAAGAAGGGACGATAAAGTTAGAAATATGGAAAAAATTTACATAGTTATCATTTATTTTAGACTTGGATTTTTTTTTAGAAATATAATTGAGAATTTAAAAATAAAATTTCTCTTTCTCTTTTAAAAGAAGAATGTAAAGAGGAATATAATTTATTCTTTAAACATTCTATGACTGTAATTTCTGCCATTTAATTTTCATATATGTAAATTAGGTAAAATTAAATGTTCATCGATTTAATATATCGTTTCACACACGTACGGAATATATTAAAACATCATATTATAATGCTTCTTCCATTTAATGGTTCCCAGTCGATTTCACAAATTGAAATCAAAGTTAAAATTTAACTTAGTTACGAATATTAATAAATTTTTATTATTATTATATATTTTTATTAAAATCTACTTAACCAGATATTGGAACAATCATATTATAAGTCAAATAATTTTGAATGAACTTGTATACGATGAAATGTTCATACTACATGTTAAAATTGCTTGTTTCGAATAAAGTGTTCTTGGATAAAAACTTAATTACAGTTATCATTGTTTCAAGAATAAACTACCGTGTATGATTTATGTTCGTTGCACAGAGATAAATCATCTCGTAAATTATCACAAACAACTCTTTTTCCGTGGTTCGGCGACGCAGCTGGTTTTATTAGTAGTATTATCATAGACAATTTTTATTGTGTCGTTATATATCATTCAGTTATATTATAAATAAAGTACATTACTTCCTCTCAAAATTTGAAATGGATATATTTAAACATTCCACATCAATATTTAGATACTTTTCAAGTTACATTTTTACGTAATTGTGTAAGATTTTAATATTTAAAATTATTGACTCTTATATCCATGCATTATTACATCATGTATATTATTACCTATGATGAAAGTATTCCTTTTCTTAAGATGAAATATAAAATTTGTTATTTTTTCGATCAAAATTGTTCAAATTAAACTAAATCATTATTTGGCTTTATTATTTGGATATTTAATATCGATTTTTGTTCTCGATTGTTGTTGGTTTAGAATTTTATTAGGCATCTATCGAACCATTATTTCACGCAGATCGAATAATTTCTGAACAGAAAATACTAGCAATTCGAACGGCATTCCATAAATATATTTCGTATCTAAAATGTTAACATGCATTAACATCGAGCGTTAAAATTTATATTAACTGCAAATTCTATTGAACATTCGTGAATTTCTGAATGATTAAAAATAATAAAAAACAATATAACCTACTTCTCACGTACAGAATAAAAATTAAACCAAAAAATAAAAATATTCTCATCATGAAATAAAATAAAGGATATTTTTTCACTAAATATTTATAAAAGAACTTATAAATTCCTAAAAGATTAAAAGTGAGAAAGTGTAAAATAAAATATTTTACATATTTACAGAAGAACTCACTTATATCGTAAATATACGATATAACTAAATCGGAATAAAGTTTATCTCCATCATGGATCACTTATTCAATTAGGCAAAGCATGAATGCAAAATCCTGTTATCTCGTTACCCTCGCGAATTATCATCGACACATTACACATTGCAACCGCAGGGGTTGCAGAAATTTCGGTGAGCGTAATTTTCGTTTGGTAACAGGTTTCGTCGCCCTCACGCTCTTTGTCCGTCACGATCCGCGACATGTGCATCCCTATCGAATCTAAAGTCGCGCGGTCCATCGAGCTTACAATATGACCCTTGACAGAACGAGGTCCATTGTGTCATTTGAGAGGGGCGAGATGAGTCAAGCGTTCCATATTAATTCAAGATGCAAATTCGAGCTTCGTTTGTAGAATTAAATAGATGGAATATTTCATAAGTGGATAATGTTTATGTAAGATTTATGCTGCAGCATGAAAAATTTTGTGAAAAAATTATTATACATCAGATATAGAATATTTGAGATTTAAAATTGGTGATAAAAGTGTCTGGTCATTCGAGGTATTTCAAGAAAATTTAATATATTAGTTAGGAAAATTATTTCATATATGATATGCAATTGTTTAAAAGAGAGATAGAAAGTTATAAATATAATTCAAAAAGATGTTTTTAAAATCATATCTAAATTGAAGATTTTAGCAATACTCTAACTTTTTAAGTAATTATTCTATTGAATAATTCTTTGTTATTTGATTCATTGTGCATGGGAATAATAGCATTGTGCAGAATGGAATGATATTGGACTCAATATAGACGATTATTTGATATTGATGACGTTTTAATATTGACGATGATTCGATATTGATTGCAACTGAATATTGACTGTGGTTCGATATTGGTTATATATAACTCGATAATAATAATCTGGGCCTAATAATAGTAATAATTTCAGATTAATCAAAACTCGGTATTGGTAATTTTTCCATATATTAAATATATCTTGAAGATTCCTCGTTAATAATATTATCCATAATTCAATAATAATAACGATTTGATATTAATGATAAATGATAATGAATCCATACTAATAACAATTCCATACTACTGATAATTTTATAATACATAGACAATGTAATATAGAAAAGAAATGATTGGTGATTATTAAAATTAAATAATTGTAACAATTGCAATAATCAAAAATAGATTATCACTAATATAATGAAAGATTTATATTTTTACTTATAATATTCTTCCTCATTGAATACAATCTATTAACATCAATTTATTTTTTGTTCGAATCTCGTTATTCCTTGAAAATCCTTAACCACGAATTTTTCTGGAAACTTGTTTCGATTATAATTGTTTGTGAATATGCTGTTTCAACTATTCATGAATTCTTAGCGCAATTGGAACGAAAATGGAGGCTGGAATGGCGGGAAACCTGATGGAATTCCAATTTAAATCTTCAATCGATCGAATGATGAAGCGAAGTGCTTATATAAGAGGGTTGGGGGGTATGGAAGAATTGTTGATAGGATTAAGATTGGGATTGCGTTGTGGAATTTCGAAGAAGGTGTACGAGTTGGTGTTTGTAATTGATTGGAAGGTTATCGATGTGGAAACAAGTTTTGGGAGCATTCGAAGACGCGTGGCTGGGAAAATTGAATTAAACTACTGACATGCTGTAATTGAAAGTTACATTAAACTGTATCGAGAAACTATGTTACTAAGAAATTTCTTCACGAAACTAGATTTTCTAGTATGAGATGGAGTTTTCTTTAGAAATTTACTTTTTAACCGGTACATTTTATAAAAATCAAGCACAGCATTTATATTCTAAGATTATTTATGAAAAAGAAGGAAATATTTTATATATTATTACAGCAAATATAATTTGAAGTATAAAATGGACTTTCTTTCTATAATGGAGCTTTCTATGATATATTATAATAACTATGATTATATTATAAATTGGCAACAATTTGATGAAAACTCTTCTCAGCAAGTTCAAATAACGCGATAACCAATTAATCAAAAAACCACCCTAATTTCTCTCAAGCCATCTCAAAATAAAAAAAATTTCTTCTGTCATTTTCATCTGGCAACAAATATTTGCAGTATTGATACATTTGAATCGAATTCAACAAACCCAAACAATATCAAGTCAATCGATCAAAAACCATTGTGATTCTCGATAAATTTTCACAGGCAAACACCACATCCTCCATCTCTTTTCACGGCAAACGAAGGGCCCATGTACTCGACGTCTCCCGGTATTATTTGTATTCACAGGGAAATGATGTTCTCCGTTTCATCGACCCCAGCCATCGTACCAGAATCGACTGCTTCCCGACACGTTGAAATTTCCATCACGCTCGCCAGTTCTCGCGCAGATCGCATTAATGACAACGCCAGAGAAAACGAAATAGATGGAGAAAATTAGATAGTCAAATATACTGGATGTTTCGTTACAACAATATGGAATATCTTATCGAATCTACCAATATAACCCACAACCTAAACAATAATACATACAACTATCCCGATCCAAAAGTAATCACAGACGATTGCCATCTTCTCAACACGCAATATTAAATTATTGAAATATCTTTCAAGAAAATAATTAGCACTATATCCTGCCTCGAATCGAACAGCTTAATTTATACATTTTTTTCTTCTATTTCTTTCTCGCTCACACGAGATCTTCCGTAGATCGAAAAAGAAAAAGAGAAAGAGAGAAGATCGTAATCCAAGGGGTTGTAGATGAAGGCGGAGAATAAGCGTGACACAAGGGTGGCTCGTCTCCGCGAAAATCGAATTTGATATTTCCGCTCATCGACAGCAGCACGTGAATATATATCCCTCGGATGGAAAACGAGGATTTTCTTATCTGAATTCCACCCCTGGCGAGTCACGTCCCCTTCAGGGACAAGATGGGGGAGGGAATGCGAAAAGGCGAAAGCGGAACCGTGCCCGAGGGCGGAGGAAGTTGTCGGAGGCCTCGCGACTGAATTATTTAAGTCGCGGCCCGGTTTTCCTCGACCTCCTCTCCTTGATTCCTTCGCCACCGTGGAAACGAAGGAAATTTCATTTCGTCGCCCAGCGAGGGGGATGTTCGAGGGGCGGAGAGGCGCGTGACTCTTCGCGAACCGCTTTTAATTGGTGGCTGTTTTTGCGGGCAGGTTTGAGCTAACTCGAAGGGAACATCGTTTGGGAAATTACGAGAGGGCGGGGAGAAATTTAGGGGAATTCTTTGAGATTTGTAAAATTATAAGTAACGCCACAATTTTTTCAGATCACCTTTGCAATTCGCGAATTGAGAAAAGGAATTTCGAAGAATTGACGAGAAATTGAGAATTTTTGAGATGAAGAGAAAAATTGGAGATTCTTTGAACTCTTTTTTTGAGTTTTTAATAGTAAATTTCGTATTTTTTAATGGTAATCAGTAAATTTATCTTATAATATTCTCGCTTCATATTTTATAAATCGAAACGGGAAAGAGATCAGTTAAATATGAGAATCGTAGAATTGATTGAACAGTCAGAAATTTATTTATTCGCTACGTAACGTGACGCTTTTGTGATTAACAATTAAAAACAGTGGCCTCTGAGCGAAGATGGTGGATGGTGGAGGATTGGAAATAGGTTGGGAGTGAGCTCTTCCTATTGTCATTGTCCGTCGTCGTCGAAATGAAATCGCAGTCGAATCGATGGCAATCGAAGGCGAACAAAAACGGAACGTCGGTGACGATTGGAAAAAAAAGCTCGTTCGACGATTGCTTTCACCAAGCGCAAAGCTTCGAAATGGTTGATAATTGGCTGGGAAGAAAAATTGCGAATCACGATCGAAATCAAAGGAGAAAATAGAAAAGAAAAATAGAAATATAAACGTGGCACGTGTATGACGGTGGTTAATTGTTCAAATATCAGGATTATCCTCAATAAAAAATTTCAATCACACGTATTTTCTTTGAAACGTAACATATTTCAATAAGAAATAATTATCGCTGTGTTACAAGATTCAATTAAAGGATACAAAATAATTTTATTATTTTATAGAAATTGTTATCTGAAAATAGAAAAGAAAATGATTGTTTAGGATGTAGTTTTCTTTAAATTTTTTTTAAATTTTTTAAACGTGCTGTCATAACATCATGATTTGAATAATATTCGAAATAAAATTTTTAATCTTATACGGTTCCTTCGAAGCGATACATTTTTAAAGAGAAAATAATTTTAATTATATCAAGCAAACAAAAATCAATTTTATTATTCAAGATTTTATAATTTAAAATTGTTAATTGCAGAATATTGCAGTTTTTATTGTTTTTTTTAAAACAATTTATTTGTTAAAAAATAATAAATTTTACAAATCATTTAAATATGTATAAGAAAAAAAAAAGTCTCACAGATTATTCTGACAATGAAAAATTTATATATAAAAGAAAATGTCAACAATTTCCCTATTAATACCATTTCTCTCGAAATAATTTTAGTCGTAATAACGTCATCGTCGAGGGTTGATTTTTCAACATTCCGCTTCAAAATTCCGAACTTTTAGAGAGAAAAGGGTAACAACTTTCACCAACAACGTCGAGCACCTGGCTCGTCGAGCATATTTATACGATAATTAATTTAATACCCGCCTAATTAAGTTTGCTGTTCTCCGGGCGTGGGTCCACGTAGAAACGTCGATAATGGCAAACAGGGTGCACGGTGTATCCTCGTAGGCTTGTTAATAGTTTATCGGATAGTTTTTTGTCAACACCGGGGCTTTCAAAGCGCATAAATATTGAAAGAGGTTTAGTCGCTTTATTTGGTGTCACTTTTCTTTTTTAGAATTGATTTCTTTGATCACTTAAATAATTGCGATCAAGCGAACTCTATTTTATGGACGTGATTTTTTAATGAATTTGTTGTTGAATTAACGAGAGATGCCTACCTCGTGATTAAAAATTTGTTATAAATTATATTGAATCAATACATTAAATCTGTAGTAATAAAAAATATTTGCAATGTTTTAAACATTTAACAATGATACTTTTAAATGAGTGCATTAAGTGTAACTCGAGATGGATTATAAAATTTCAAGCCTCTATATCACTAATTATCTCTTGTATCTTCATCATTATAACTTTTGAACGGTTAATAACACGATGCATTAAAGTGATATTATAAAGTAAATTTCTGTTACAAGTTATTTTAGATAGTATCGATTTTATTCATCATCCAAAAAGTATTAATTAATCATCACGTATCAATTATAATCATCTCATCAACTTATATTAGCTATATGTGTGTTCCAATGAAAATATTTCGAAATTTTTATTCGAGTTTTTATCGATATTTCATTTCACATAATTTACATAGCTATAGTAAAATGTTGATTTTAGACTAGATTGAGACTATTTCCAATTTCTAAATATTATCGATATTTCTTAAAATTATTACCACTTTTAATCAATTCCTTCCCTCTTCATTTTAAATTCCACAAAAATTTCAACAAATCCAACGTTTAAACACGACATGTGGAGAAAAATTTCCA